ACAAAAATGGCTTCTTTTACTCCTCTCTCAAACCAATGTTCCTCTCTATCAAGAATGAGAACATCCTCATCTCTGAAAGGTTTCTGTAGATACCACACATGTCTATGTTTTAAGTAAAAGAACTCATAATAATTAACGTAGAAAACCGGGGTTTGGCCTTAAAAGATGATTGAACCAATGGGTGGGCCAAATTTTGGTCACTCGCCAGTTGAATAGCCCTGCTGTAAAAAAACACAGTAATTGTTTCCAAAATTGCAGATTAAAAATATTTGACTTTAGCTTTCAGCTAGCATTTAGTTGCTTTCAACTAGCGCTTTGCTTCTTTCAGCTAACCTTTTGCTGCTTTAAGCTCGTTGCTTCGCTTTCAGTAGATTGGTGAACTGGTGAAGCGTTGGTTTGTGACAGACCGGAGAGAATTCCAACAAATCCCGGTTGGGTTTGAATTCCAGGTGGTGGAGAAATGGTTCCAGGACAAAACGTACACGCTGGAGGCCGCCGCCGTCACCGGAGCGTTGATTTCCCTCCTGATCAAAGCCGTTCTGTTCTGGGGGCTCATCAAGCTGGTGCACAGCTTCGGGCAGGGCCTGAGGGAGAGAAGTGAGCTCACATGCTGGATCTTTACTCTTTTAAAATTTAAACCGTTTTCCTGAGTTTTTGGTTAGAAAACAGCAGAAGGGAATATTTGCTTTAATCCCACTCTGTTTGTTTTGTTGCAGTGTTTGCTTCGGCTCAGTGAAAACACATCCTGAGTTCGTGGGTCCAGGTCGGAGCTGCCGCTTGATTCAGATTCAGTGCCATGATGTGAACAGAACCAAAGCATTCCCAGAACTTCTCTTCACTCCTGATCTGCTGATTATCTCATTTTGACTTCATCAGTTTCTTCTCTGACCAACCTGTTAATCATTAGTTTTCTGGATCCTGATCATCCTAAACGAACACAGCTCGTCTTTAATCCAGCAGATTTTTTTTTCACTCAGCTTTAAATGAACTTGGATCTATAAAAACTCATTTCATGGCCTTTTTTTTGTTTGTTTTTGACTGAATTCTTGTAAAGACACTGATTTGTACTTTTATTTCTTCTTTTAAACTGTAATATAAAAACCGGATGTTCCTAATATATTTTTTGTAAAGTGAACAAACATCTTTTACTGACTATAAAACAGCTTCTCGTCTTATGTACGACTTTACATATTTCTTCGCTTTCTGCAGCACCTTAACACACTCAGTGTTTTTTATATTCATGGTTCCTAATAAATAAAAAAATACATAAATGTTGTTGGTTTTCTTATAAAAAAAATATCTATATACACTGCTCAAAAAAATAAAGGGAACACTTAAACAACGCACGCTAAGTCCAAGTAATCAAATTTTTGTGAAGCACATTCAACTCTGTACAGAACAAAGTACTCAATGCAAATATTTCATTGATTAAGATCGGGAGTTAGCGTGCGTTGTTTAAGTGTTCCCTTTATTTTTTTGAGTTTAAGTGTTCCCTTTATTTTTTTGAGCAGTATATATATATATATATATATATATTTTGCTGCAGCCTTTTCTCTGCTTTTAGAAAATATTTTTAGATTCAAATGCCTAATAAGGTATTAAATACAAAGTTTGAAACAAAGTCTTGGTATGATCCAATAGATTTTAGCTCGGCATCTATAAAATGGACAGAGTTGCAGCCATTTTTGTTTCTGTTAATGTTGATTAGCGATGCTGGTTGTCTTTACTTGAGCTGCCTAAAAAGTTAAAAGTATAGATTGACATTCAGCGATTAAATCCTGAGTTTTCTAGGAATCTGTTTTGGTTCATTAGATATTTCGACAGACAAACATACTTTAATGGTGACAATAACTGATTTATTCGAAACATTTGGGCGAAAGTTCTGACGTGAGCTGCTTCTCATTTCTAACTTGTACAAAATGAATGTTTTATTAACCTTCACGTTTTTTTTTTGTGCAATCAAAGCAGCTTTGCTTGATTTAGCATCAACGCTGATCAAACAAAAGAACATGGACTTTTTGTTTTTAACAATCTGTTTATTAAAAATTTCTGGGGGAAAAAAACATTAATAAACTTGCAGATACAAAAGTTACAGAGCTGAATTACAAAAAGTGAAAAGCACTTTGAGAGAGCAAATAGAAGAAAAAAAAAAGAAAAAGGTTTAATTTTGGAGAACAATTCAGACCAAATAAATTTCTCATGAAATTTTCTAAACAGTTTGTTTTGGAATGTATTTCCTCTCTGTCCTGCAAGAAAAAAAAATCTTAATAAAAATCAACGAGAAACTTGTCAATGTGTAAAAAAGAAAAAAAAAAGATTCATTTCTATTAATAATAACATTGTAAACCTGTTATTAAAACGTGGACTTTACAAAATACAGCTTTTTACATTTATTTACACCTAAAAAGGAGGAATGATTGCTCTTTAGGGCTCACAGGGTTTTAAACACATGAGCCGATTTATAAAATGCACATTCTGTCCCAACAGCCTTGTAAAGTAGGACACCTTAAAGTAGGCCGCACAGTGATGAATTCAACAAAGTTTGTAACAATTCCTCAACATTCACACAGAAAAACAACAGACTGGTCTTAAAAAAAGGTTTAATAAATATTTGGCTATTGCTTCAGGGAGATCTTTAAAACTAGACACTAAAAAAAAGACAAAGTTTGGTCTCTGAGTGGAAATAAATCCTGCCTCTACAGAGATTTCACACTGCATCAATCCATCAAGCAGCTGTCGGTACGACCCACAGAAAACTAGACGTAAATGATGTAAACATGAAAAAAATAGAGATTTTGTACATTAATGATGCAGTGTTTAAGGCACAGTTGGACCCTTGAGAACATTTATCAAATTTGTTTTCTCTTTTCTAAATATTTCCAGAGGAATGCAGCTCTTGCTCACCTCAACAGAATAATAAAAAAGGGAACTTTTTTTACGCAGTTGACATCTTCCTGATGTCTGTCCTAAAAACGGAGAAAAAAAGTGCTGAAGTGAACCTGACGACACATCGAGAGGATCGTTAAGACATGACGACAAATCCTGACCATGTTTTGGTTCGTTTTAAGTGTTGATTTCCTTTTGATTTGATTTTAGGTAGTTTTTTTTTTTTTTTGTCCAAAACTGCATCTTGAATCCGTGGGAACAGTTTTCACAGCTGGACAAACAGAGACCAAACTCCATTCAAATCATGCAGAGCATCCTTGTAGAGGATTGCAGCGGCTGCGGCTCGTTCGCTCTAAAAAGAACCACCGTCTACGAGAATTTGTGAAAATTCTCTTTTGAAATTTCTGGAACCGTTACAATTTGTCCGTCTGAGGTGGTTCACTTCGTTTCGTTCAGCAGATTAAACACCTTTTTTACTGGAGTAAAGCATTTCCACCTGTATTAACGAAGCCAGAGTACGACCTGGAGGAGCACACGGACCTGCTTTGAATGGAGTTTGGTGACGATTGTCTGTCCAAGAAAGACCAAACGACAGAAACCGAAGACGGAGGAGTTTTAATTCAGAGTCCTGTGGGGAATTATTGAACCCCCCCACTCAGCTCAGAACTCCTCGTCCTCCGAGTTGAGGTGGTTCTGCTTCTTCCTCACGTTCCAGTGCAAACACTGCGCCAGGCTCTCGAACCAGTCGTTCACCGGGTCGCGGAAACAGATGGACGGAACGGGGAAGCAGGAAGTGGTGATGGTAATACTGGGAAAAAGAAGGAAAGAAAAGAAGTTCAGGTGTTTTCTGTCACAACAGAACTGATGTAAAATGACCGCTCTGATGAAACACTGGTTTTTTTTTTTCCCTGAACACTGGCAGCTGGTTCTAAGAAGCAGGAAGGTGATTATATTCGATTGCATAAAGGAGGGGGGGGATTGAGTCTGACTCAGGGGTCAGAATGGCCTCGAGCCAATTAAATCGGGCCGATGAGTTTATATAACAGAGCCTGAGAGCTGCTCAGCATGTGGACGAACCTGTCTCCGTGGCAGATCTCCTGCCTCTTTCTTCCATCAAAAGACACCCAGGCCGTGTTCCTGGCATCACGCGACAGCATGATCTAAAAACAAGGAAAAAAAAGTTTTGTTGAACTAGTTGGATAAAAATCAGTTTATTAAACCAACACCGAACTATAAACCGGTTTGAAAACCAGTAAAACAACAACAGTTATTTATACTGTTTGCCTTCATGTATGCAGAAAATATTCTTAAGTTTATTGTTTCCTCAGTGTGATGGTTAAGTTTTCACCTCCATATTTTAATCATAACCAATCATCATTACAACCAGCTGAAACAGGAAGTAAAATACTTGATCAAAGCAGTTGTATGTGTGATAAAGATGAAGGTTTCGTGCGATCGTGTGCAGCAGTTTTAGGTAAAACCCTTTAAAGTGCGCGTGACATCAAATTTTTGTAATAAATGTGAATGCATTTTTGGAAAGAGAACACTGATAACATATTGCGAAACAAATTTCACGCTGCTGAGACAAACGGTTGCTGAGATAATTGCACGTGAAGAAACAGGAAGTGATGTCAAAGGGGAATGTAAACAGAGCGATGCTACAATAATTAGAGAAGAATCTGATGTTTCTTTAGATTATTTTGAGTCACTATCAGAGCTGAAGAGTTTAAATAAGATGGTTTCAATAAACAAAGAACAGAGTGTTTCTTTTCTTAAAGAGTTCCCCTTTGATGTCACTTCCCTTTGATGTCACTTCCTGTTTCACTTTGCTGAGCCAAATTCAAGAGAAAATGTGCCAGTTATGAGACAAAATGGGTCAAATCCTGTGTAGTATGCTAATTTTCTTAAATATAAATATGTTTTCTTTGACTTTTTGTATTTGAAGGATAAGCATGTCACAGGCCCTTTAAGTACCTTGAGCTCCACTCCGGCGGGCACCACGATTGGTCTGAAGGAGAGCGAATGAGGGCAGATGGGGGTGATCATGATGGCTGGGACGTTGGGGTGGATCATTGAAGCTCCTGCTGCCACTGCGTACGCTGTGCTGCCTGTTGGTGTCGATACAATCAAACCTGAGGTGGGGGACACACAAAGTCACAGCGGGTGTGATTTAACGGAGTGGACGACATCTGTATTCTTTAAATATTGTGTCTGAAACCAGAGCTGGGAGCCTAAGCTCCGCCCAGTGAACCTGAGAAGTCTGCAGGTCTGCAGTGTGGAGCGTCACACTTATACAATGATCTGCTGACTCACCGTCCCCCTGCACCGTCGTGATCAGGTGTCCGTCCAGGTAGAGGTCAACGTTGGAGAGGTACGAGGAGGGTCCCCGGTCCACCACCACCTCATTCAGGACCTGACACACACACACACACACACACACACACAGAAACGTTAGCGATGACTCATTACATGAATACTGACGACCTGATGTCACCCAACGCTACACGCTTAGTTTGTTGAGCAGGAAAAACACCAATCCAGTGTGTGATCCATAAATATAGTTACTGATGTCACTGCACACCAATGTTGTTCCTCAACAACAGGTTCAAAGCCCTCAGAAAAGACCATGATTATGGAGGACCAAAACTGACATAAATATGACCCCCGCACGTGAAGCGGAAACGGGGGTCATATTGTTTTCATACTGTTTAGTTTATTTATTTATTTATTTATTGTGATTTTTGGTCAACCGTAGCACAAAAACGGCTGCACCAATCAACAAGAAATTTGGCAGGACTGTAGATGAGTCCGACCTGCACTGCGCCAACCAACGGCTTTACGATAGACCCCATATTTGAGGAGGGGGCTCCTTTCAAAGAGGGGGTGTCTGGACATGCAAAAATGCTTGTAACTCAGAAACTGTTCAACATAGGAGCTTCAGATTTATTTTGTTGTTTAGCTCTGATGAAGCTCCATCCATCAGGCCCACCAATCAGTGCCCTCCACGCCCCCGGACCCCCAATTTATCTGAAAAAGGGGTATCTGGACATACAAAAATGGTTATTGCTCAAAAACTATTAAACATAGGAACTTCAGATTTTCGTTTATTCTTTAGGTCTGATGAAGCTCTATCCATCAGGTCAACCAATGCCCCCCACCCCCGGGATGCATATAGTAGCATGACATTTATTAGGAATAAAGACTTCTGAGTTCTGGTGTATTTGAGCGTTTGGGGGTCATTATGTTACCAATATGCGGTATCCAGTTAAAAATAAAAGCAGAGGTATATCAATGGACCAAGAAATAAAAAACAAATAAATACACTTAAAATTCACCAATGCCTTCCTATTCCTCATGTTTTATAATTTATTTGACCTTCATATTTATTTTTCCAGCTTACTTGCAATAAATCATATTTTAGGACATAATTTACATTTTACTGTTGTAAACAATAAATATTTATTTTTTTCTTTTACTTGTACATGCAATTGTGTCTCTTAAATCCTTATATTTTATTGTTATTTCCATGTGTTGCTTTCACATTTCTCTGTCTCCTGTAATTACATTTCCTTATGTCCTTCTGCCTCATTATACAAATAAGGTGGGCGGTCCTTCCTGGCTCAGCTCCTCTTCTATTGGTCAACAAACAGGAAGGAGCAGGATCCATGTGCAGATCTACTGTGCATACGTATGCTGCCTCAGTTAAATACAGGAGACAAAAAAATGTAAAAGCAACAC